CGTCCTCCAAATAACTCTATCATAAGTCAACTCAATCACTCCCTTCTTTCCGTTCACGCAATCCATCCATCTCTTTCTAGATCTACCTCTACCGGTGTACCTCTTAACTAGCGTCCTTCTTGTTACATGCCAATTATCGAAGACCCTTACTATGATTTTATCATTATTTACACTTAACAACTCTGAGTACCGCAGTAAGTGTACTCTTACGTCACTCGAGGAAAGAATACGACTCAAATCGATCGAATATGAACCACACTTCAAAGTTAAGCTGTTTAGGCTACAAGAGATAACGATGAATCAGACGTACTGGCCAGTGGCGTTTTTATTTCGTGGTTAAAAATATTACATGTTTTTTTTTAAATTGCTTAACAATTTCGAGATTATAATGGAAAAGAACACTACGATAGAAAGATGGGTGTTCTGAACCTGAGGGTATATTTACTTTTTCATGTTAATACGAGGTATATTTGGCCAGTATCGCTCTATAACTGGACTGTCATAAAGAAAACGGGCGCTAGTAAAACATAGCAGGGCTGTCACTGGCCAGCACCTGATTGGTATATTTCCGTGTTCCTGTGCATCTCAGGTTCAATGTCGAAGTAATCAGTGAACATAATGCACATCGTGACTGAATGTTAGACTACATCATAACATACAAATTAGTACCTCACGTGGTTTTAGTTGACTTTGTTTTATGAAAAATTCCACAATAGAAAAGAATTATAACATTGTATGAATACTAACAATCTGGATTAAAACTATGATACCTACTTTGTGATCTAAAATCAAAACATTAGAGGTGTAAGATAGCAGGAATCAAATTCGAAGTTCACAAGTGAAAGAATCAGATGGATCACCAAAACCAGTACAATTTTCTAAAGTCTATGAAAAATTATGTGATTCTCTGGGTTAATATTGAAAATGTAAAGCAAACATTTACAATCTATACTCTATACTATTTTAATAAAGGGTAAAAACACACTTCTTTGTTGCCTAAGATGTCAGCAATTACAGCATATTTTTGTATAATTCTTTTTTTAATAAAAAGCCCTACACTAAAGTCATGCTTTAGGCTATATATTTTCACGCCATTAAACTCAGGGGTAAATAAATTAAATAAAACCCTAATGTGGGAAAGAAACCATAAGTTGCTGGCAACATCAAGGAAGCAAGATTAGCATAGTAAGGTAATTGGTATTTTGACATTTGCAATTGAGAATTTGATAAATGTACACAATAAAATTAAATTTTATAATTTCATGCGGAAAAAGCCGCACTGGAACAGCTATATGGTATAAATGTACTGAATCACTTACTGCCAAGGTTTTAGATGCAAAAGATTACAACACATCCTACTATCATATGTAAACAGAATACATTTTATTCTAAACCTAGGTATTGTATTGTTTATACTTGTGGATTTTAGCATCCTATGTGAATAATCCACAGTGGTCCAGTGTGGTTGACTATGGCCTAGTCACCCCCTAACTTAAGGTAGGTCCGAGCTCATCGGTGGGGACATTAGTAAGCTGGTGATGATGTGAATAATAAAATGTTATCTTCATTTTTAAATACAAAACTAGTGAAATATTTCTAATTAGACTTTTTCTGTGTATGATTTAAAAAAAGAACAATTTCCCAAATAGGTCTCCGTCCTTTGTCAATTTGTCTGTACATATTTAGCTTTAAAAATCTATGTAAAACTCATAATGTTTAAAGTTATCTTAAATTTCTTAAATAAAAAAATCCAATTGTATCTCAACTACACTCTATATAAAAATTGTGGTATAAATGTGAGTCTAGCGCTTTAAAACAGAAAAAAAATTTCATTGCAAATGGCTAAAATAAAAAGCAACATTATTATGCCCAAAAAATTATGTAGCATATAGTTTTCTAGCATAAATAAACATGTCTATTATTGGCAATATTCATATGATGAAGATGAAGTCTTATCACCAAGACATTAAAAGCTTTTTGCATTAGAGTTAATCAAAATGTTTCTTTAGAATTATAATTGTTAGTATTGAATTTTAAAAAAATGTCTAATGGAGAAATAGGAACTGTTAGTAGTGTTATTCTCAAGTTCTTGGTACTGTACTTCAAAATAAAATATTGATAAAGAATAATAAAAAATAATAAAATGTAAGCAGCCAAAACCATAGTTTTAATTTAATTTTTACCATCGTCCTTTTAAAAATTAATGACGTATTGCGAATAGCGTACCGGCAAAGCTTCGCACTCATTTTGTTTTTATTTCATCTTGCTCATTTTTCCAATTAGTATATGGGAGCATGGATAAAAATTTTACAACTGAAAACTTTTACCTATTCACCAAAATATCGCCAAGGTAACGTCATAACGTAATTTGCGTAAACGTGACGAATTTTACGCAGCTCGAATATAATGTGTAAATTTAAATAAACATGAAACAATACCTCAGTTTTACCATCGTATATAGTCGGCCACACCATATTCACAGCTGAATAATGTAACAATCGTTTTAAACACGTCAGGGGAAAGAACGCTTGTGATCTTGAACTGCCCTTCGTGAAAAACTTCTCGTCGCAGCTGCACCGGAATACGACTACGGACTTGCGTATTACATCGAGCCGCGCGATTCGCGGCGCGCGCAACAATAGAGATAGAGACGTTGCTACGCGAGGTGAGTGCCAAACCAAAAGTTTAAAAAGCCCTCCTCTATGGATTGAAAAATTCCGTTGACTGTAAATAATATTTTAAGTTTCAAAAATTATAACCCTTGTCCCTTAAATCCCGCATTAGCAACGTAAGACTTCGTGTGTGGACCAGTTATTCTAAATTTAAACGTTTGAAAATTTGCCAATGCGCGCACCTTGCCAATATCAGAGTAAGCAGTATGGCAGAACATTAATTAATTGAATAAAGTAAGAGTACTCAAATTAATTATTACAATATTGCTTAAATGTGACGTATTTGTGTACATATTTTTAATAAACTATATTTTTTTCTTCTTAAAATAATCTTTCTTTTGAATATAACTAGGAGTTATTTGACTTCCGTTAATATTTTTGGCAAAGTGACCGTTATACGTTTAGTGCTGTAACGTGCAACGTGTAAATACGATCAGTATTTAATACGATTGTAGTTGTTTTATTTATTTCGGAAATAACATTATGATATACTTACTTTATACATCTTGTAATATTAACCATTTCCGAGTTTTGTAAGTTATTTACTATTAGACGTACTATAATAACGCAGACTAAAAAATTATTGTGTTAAAATATATCTAGAAGGTATGTAACATCTTTTCTATTTCATTACTGATAAGAATTTCATATACATCTCGATAAATAAGTAAACTTAGTAAATATCATAAAAGTTAAAAAAAGATAACAAAGACATAAAAGATTGACAAAATTTTAAAGGACTTCCGTTTCCGCTCCTATCCCATCTGTCCCATCTGTCAAGTTTAACAATGCTCAAAACATTGGATTATTTTGCCTAATATTTATCTCGACTGATATGTATTGCTTAAAATTTCAAGCTATAACTTTAATGCACTTGTTATCTTTTAATTTACTTCTCCGTCTAAAAAAAAAGATGGCAAATGGTATGGGATTTTCGACAGTATAAACTTACGGTAAACTATTTTTTTACAAGCTTTTTTTATTTTAATCCTCACGTAGTAACAGTCATTTAAATGTGGACGTTGTTCTTATTTACAGTTTATTCACATGCTTTTGGAATTTTCAATCACGTCACAATCTTAATGTGTATAAAACATAACTTCGTGGTCTAGAATAGTTTCCCCATTAAATAGTGCTAATGACATTATGACTTCATCCATTATCATCTCATGCATACAAGTTACAGTCATAAGAAAAACAATACATAGCAACGACTAGTTTGTCATCAAATATTTAGATTACCTTCATAAATCAATAAATTATTCTATCAATTTACGGTCAACACCGAAATTTTTCGCTTTCAAAATCACCTAAAGATGCTGGAGTCATTTCAAATGTTAATACCTTAAATGACGTTATAAATACCAATAATAATAAAAATATTGGGTAACGTTAAAATGTGTAACGCCGCTTTACAGCTGACTGGAAAAATCAGTGTTATCAAGAGGAAATCTTCCATTGATATATACATACATAATTAGGTTATATTACTATATTGCAGAAATCTAGTCGATGCAATTATACTATATCATTCCAAGACCGCGTGATCTACCCATAAAAAGGACAAAGAGATTCAAGAGAGAGTAGAAAGTGAGTGAGATAGACAAATGGTTCATTCACTTCGATTCTAAAACACCGGCTAACTCTTTTCGAACCATTTAAAAGCATAGATAAAAATATGCGAAATATTTGCAAATAAAAATATAAATGATTTACTTACAAATGCCATTTAAACGTAAAATTAAAAAGTAACTTATAAAAGCACACAAAGCAAAGCAACTCGGTACTTTGTAGTTTGACAGCAAGTTATTCCGCTAAGGTCATCGCAATGTCACAAGCAGGTAGCAATTTTTACACTAGCCACATTATTTTATTTCGCAGTGTTGCTCAATTTCATTGAAAATTAATTTTGTAGCAGTATTTAAGATGTACTATTAAAAAATTAAGAAAGATTTGATTTTACGATTTTATACCCAAATAGTTTAGTTTTTTCACGATCATGGAATTTTTAGTATTTGTGTATTATTAGCATTGTTCTAAGATATTGTGATAGTTTGATTAAAATAAAAATATCTTTTAAATTAGGATTTATATACCTGTTTTCTGTTTCGTGTTTCTACTGCCTTCATTTGTTTGAATTACGCTACACAACTTTCACAATACACGTTAAAACGTCTTCTGGCACTCCCGTCCCCGTCCCGTTTGACTTCGTTTTATCTCTACTGATAAAAGTATCAGTATACTATAGTTGTTTCAATAACTGGTCAATAAAGTAAACATTACCTACCCTTCCGTGTGCTTATCTGAACTAATAAAATTTATCGTATTTGCAATCTTGCATTTATTAATGTCGTGTTCCAATGTTTAAAAGTATTTTTTTTAAATTTTATTTAAAAGGTTAGCATCTTCTATCATAGCACCATATTTCGATAAGGAATCTTTAACTATTTTAAGAAAAATTGAAATTGCCAACTTTGTGGTTGATAAAACTTTTTTTTTATTTACCTCATCATTGGCCAGTTCACTTGTTTTATTGAGTCTAATCAACTATTTTCTTATAACTGCCGCATTATCCACCATACCTCGTTGTTTTGATTGATATTCTGACAGATACTTATAACTCGTCTGTTAAAAGTATTCTTATACTGGCAGCACTGTAGTTTGTTGGTGTTGCACAAAAGATAAAGAAAGATTTTGATACGCCAGATCCTCATTCTTTAAATGAGAATTTCTAAACATTTCATGTTTATAAAAAAGCTTGTGATCACACACTTCCACCTTCTGTTTCTTCTTCAATTTTCTCTCCTTAGAACAAAAAAGGATATTAAAATCTAAAGATCTCAGATGGAAAAAAAGAACCAAATAGTTACTGAAATTATTTTTAATTTCCAAATCCAATTTACATTTAAAATAATCATAACATTTTTGTCAGATTAAAATAAACACGTAAACCTACTGACAAGATTATTTGACCTTTTTGAAAGGTTTTGGAATGGCATCCGCAACAAATATACAGCACATCAGTATACAAGAAAAGTTAAAACACATATCAACTAAAGATAAATATACAAAAATATAAGCTGTCATATTTAAAAATAATGTGAAACCAAACGATGGAAGATTGGAACAATTAGGTTGCAATAGGAAAAAAATAGCTTCATATTAAAGTTATAAATATCAAGGTTAAAATAAGTCCCAATAATACTGATTTTTCTGTTAAGATAGTTCATTCAACAAACATAAAAGTTCAATTATGACATTTAGTCAACATTTTGAACATCACAAGATATCTAGAAATCAAAAGACAATCTGTATTAAAATAGACTCATTTAACCTAAAACATACTTTAGTTGTCTTATTGCAGAAAGTTAAGACACATCATGCGGCAAGTACAAAAATAGTCGCTCATAGGAAAGGCAGGTTCTTAAACGATAGCAAATTCGTATTAAATAGTATGAAACTGCGTACAAAGAAGTCATTCATCGCAAGCTATTATCGTTGTTGATTCAAATACATTCACTTAGTCTAGACATCTACGTCATGTGCGATCTCATAAAAATATACCATAACCATTTCTATGCTTCTATCGGTCTCTCGCATTAACAATGTGACTAATCAAAAACATCTATCAAGTAAAGTGCTACCACGACATTACAATTATTGCCTTGTTTAATATGATGAACACATTTTTATATTTATTAAGAGTTTTAGTAAAATTTAGAGTCAAATTAATTGATTTTTATTTAACAAACCGAGCCCTCAATGTCTATAACTCTGTCTCATAGGACTAAATATAAACATTGTAGATTTACAATTAAGTTTTATTACATTTAATAGTGATGGGATGCATTAGGTAGGGGAAATAACCTATATCTGTTGGTCCCCTCCTCTGTTCGCATGGTCTCTTAGTTATTTTGGAGGATTCTGCAGACCTAAGACACTTGTATAAATAAGAAGTCGTACTTCTTTTGTCAATGAAATTACTTGGTTTTGGCTTATTTACTTAACTAGCCGACTGGTGTTGTAGGGACGGCGCGTAATGTCTGATATATTTTCATAAGTACATGTCTAAAATTTACGTGCATTCGTTAATTCGTGGTAATACTGTACATACACTACATTTACTATAAACTCTATACGAATTACTAACTTTGAACTATGATTGCTTACATTTAAGGAAGGCCATGAAAGTGTGAAAAGGTACTTGAGAGCAACAACTTTAGGGATTGTTGATTTTATAAATTTCAGAACTAGTAAAAGTACAAGACTTTAAAGTTGCCTGTTTCTTTTTAGATAAGACCCATAGAAAAACTTTACATACTTTTAGACTTGTAAGTTATTAAAATGCATATTATTTGAACCCCAATTACAGAAGTAAGATTTTAGTGTTGCATTCAGTGTCTAAACAATTTTCACATACCTAATAGTGGGTATACACATGCCAGTAGTTGGTATACTGGAATGCATGCTACTGGTAAATACAAGTATGTGGCAAGTCAGTATCTGACAGTTACAGTATTTGTGACAGCAATGTGCATGCAAGTTAAAGTAGGGCTTGAGAGGGTTATGATATTTGACAATAAAATGTCTTGTGAATCTATTACTGGTTTGTATTCATCCTAAATGAACTGTAAAGTTTGAATTAAGTTCTTCTTTTTTATTTAACAACATATTTTGTCTATTTTTGTTGCTCTCAAGTGTTAAGTGCATGTATGAATGTAATGATTGAACACATTTTAGGATCCCACAGGACCCTTGTACATTGCAATTAGGAAATGACATACAAGTCTAAATAGAGAAATATACATTTTAGGCCTAAACTCATTTTTAGCGCTGTATATATCTGAATTATACAAAGGTGGGTGCAGAAATTGTAAGAAAACGCAAATTTAACAAACAAAAATTGCAAATTACTTTTGCTATACTACTTGTTTAATAATTAACACTTCCCTCTTGTTAACAATTATAGGGTCAAAGGAATGGATTTGAAATTATATTAAGTATGAATATTCATTTTGTTTCCACTGTACAAAAACACTGTAATATGTGCATGTGTTTCAGTAAAGGAAACTAGTTTATTATTGAATTCAACAAAAATTAGAGATATATATTGGCGGAAAAGTCAGTTTTGTCTATGGATTTATTTTATTTTCAGCATTTAAATGGATACAAAGATTTGTAATGTAATAAGTGTGTGACCACAGCCTTATAAAAGTTGTTTAATTTGTTACAATTTCTTATTTCTATTGATGGTTCAATGTCTAAACACCCACCTTTAAGAGAATAATATTGGTGAAAAATTCATATGAGGAACATGTATTCAAATACTTTAGTAATAATTGTTTTTAAAAATATTACATTTAATTTTTTTTATATTGTCTGACTTGTATCATTTTTCACAGTATTACATTTAATTATTTGTATATATTACATGTTTGAAACAACAGGCCAAAATATGGAGACCAGCCATCTTTAATTATGTCTTTTTAAGCATTTCAATATATCAAATAACATATGAGTATGTTATGAGTCAAACTAACTTCCATCACTATTTTTATGAGATTTTATGTAAACAAGCGTTCAAATTGTATATTTATAGTTTTCAAATAAAATAAAATTGGACCCCATAATTTATCAATTTATATCTGCATTTTTAAACACATAACATGCAATAATATTTTTTATTAAATGTAACACACCTTTAAGAGATTTATTGAATATTTTATTAGATACTGTTGACATTTTCCTTGTTTACATAAAATTTCACATTTTGCAATCATTTGATTACTTAGGATAAACTAATTTCAGCATACAGCATACATAGTCACATTACAATAAACATTTTTTCATATTAGAAAGATTTAAGTAAATATTAAGTAGTATAACAAAATCACATGGATATAATTCACTAGCCTAATATCCACTGTAAACTCCAATATGACTTGTGTTTCATCATATAAACCCAACTCTGGCACACAAACACAGCATTCACATATTGGTAACATACCAAAAATATATTTTCCATTAAATATACACATGACTCGAAGCAGAACGGGCACTGAGTAAACTGACACAATCACTAACCAACTTCACTTTTAACATAGAAGAGTAGATAAGGCGTTGCTGCGGACCTCA